AAGGATAGGGGGTTGGGGCACCTGCAAGTTAAGGGGACAGATCCCCCAACATAATATCCTACCTTGAACATATCAAAAGAAAAAAACATGAGGAAAAAGGGATCGCATTATGCAAAAAATCTTTTCACTCGTCAGAACACTATTGCATAATAGATAATAATATTGCGTAATAAACAAAAATGTTAGCTATTGTACCGTAGCCAATCCCAATTAGTTGGAAAAAGGCTTTGACAATATTTTGAATGCGTGTTTGCCTCACATGATTAACATGCTCTTATTTACGAATGAAAACTAGGGACGCCAAAAAAATCCTTTATACCATTAAATTACTTTGGCTGAATTTGTGATCAACTAATGATAAGGGCATAGACATGCAGCTTTTAAAATTGGCAGCTTTTAAAATTGGATGAGGTTTCTATAAGGCTTAGTTTTTATGAAAACAAAAGAAAGCCTCACCTTCCGAAATAACTTTTGGTTACATAAATCTCCATGGGCTTTATAATCAATTTTCAACACCGACAACAAAATTTGAAACTAAAAAAATAGTACAGCTGTTGTGGATCTTTGAGCACTTATTTTTCGAGCAAAATAGACAATCAATATAATTTTTACAATATGCATTATTTTTAGATCTTAAAATCCTAATTTTTTCACAACCATAATATTCAAGCCGAAATAATCGAAGTACAACAATACTTCAATTGCAATATTCAATGAGTTACCAGGTGAGGCTTTTTCTTATTTTGATAGGGTTCAAACCATTTTCCTCTAAAAATTCTCAGCATGATCCTGGAAACCATTATTGATATTTCGTACCACGCACTTGTCTTATATTCAGCCCTATAATGAAGTAAGGGCAAAATATTTTCCTCATGTAATACGTCAATTTCTCTTAAAAAACAATGCTCTATTCCATCATGGTCAAATACTGAAGGATGAAGATTCTAAGCTTTATGATAACAAAATAAAGCTTCAACCCAAATCCTCATCCGAGAGGCATTTTCGACATTGAAAATCTTCATGATGGCTCTAAAATTAATTTCCAACTCCGATAATAAAATTTGAAACTTACAAAATGGTTTAAATCTTGTGGATTTGTGAACATTTATTTTTAAGTCGAAATGGATGGTCTAGATGATTTGTTGTAATATACACTATTTTTAGAATTTGAAATCCTAATTGTTTTGCGCAACCATAATGTTTAAGTTGAGATGATCGATTTAAAGGTTTTTCAACACTAGAATTGTAATTTTTTATTAGTCATGAGGTGACGCTTTACTTGGTAGGGCTCCAGCCCTATCAAACCATTTTTCATTACATCATATTTCTCCAAATTTATGCATATGTCATTTTTTATTTTATTTTTTTGGTCTTTTTTTTGCAGTCAGATATTAGAAACAATGGACCATTCTATCACTCACCCACATAGTGGGTATGAGAATTTTGGATAGTCCAATGTTTCTAATATCAAACCATCCAATTTAGGAAAATTGGCATGCAACAAGCTCTTAGTCCGATATTTCTTCCTTATTATTTTTGTAATTTTATATTTACATATCCGAATTCATATGCAGACTCTTCTTATTATGTTTTATATTTCTTCCTTATTATTTTTGTACGGTTGAGGAAGTGTTAGAGCTCTTACTTTTAATAAAATAGAGTAATTATTCCATAAATTTGACATGGTTTGGTTAATTTCCTCCTTTGTAAGAACATGGCTACTCTAATCTAGGAATAAGATAAAGTTTCCTTAACCTTGCAATACCAATGAAACATAATTTGGGTTCGAAGATAATATCTTAATCATCCAGGTTTTAAAAACACTGGACTTGAATCATTATCATCAAAGGTTTTTCCGAATTACTTGGGGTCAGCTTTTTGGATTCATAAAAGGTTTTGACAAAATTTTACGTTGATTATCTACCAAACACAACCCATCCCCTAAAACACTAAGTTTGAGTAAATGACTTAAATTCTTATGGCTTATTTTGGTTTCTAAATCTAGAATATATTATTTTTATTAAGAACTAATAGTCCAGACTTGAAATCCAAAACAAACACGTTATTCACATTATTTTTGGCATGGAAACTTTAAAGGACTTAATGAGGTTATATTATAAAAACGTCCCATCTTATTTCTTGTTCCAAAAATAGAACAAGACTTTAATAAAGTCGTCATCATCATTATCTAAACCTTATCTCAATTATTTGTGGTCGGCTACATAAATCATGCTCACTCATTCTTCTCTATCATGGACTATACTGTCCGTAAGACCGAAAGTCATCATATATTTTCTCACTACTTATATCTATGTCATTTTAGGTATTCCTTTTTGCCTTTTAGAGCCTTCCATTTAAACCAAATTATACCTCCTAACTAGCATTGTAATGGTCTACACCGCACATGGCCAACCCCACCTAAATCTATTTCTCTTATCTTATTGCCTATTGAAGTCACAGCTAAGTTCTCTTGTATGTATTCATTTCGAATTCAAGCATTTATTGCATTACCACTTATTTATCTCAACATCTCCATCTCAGCTGCACTCATCCTATAGATATATTATTTCTTGACCACCCAACATTTTGTCCTATAAAGCATGGTTGATCTTACATCCTTCATTTTGAACTTCTCATTCAATCTCAATGGTAAGCAACAATCACATAAAACTCCAGATGCACATCTTCACTTCACCCATCTAGCTCTAATTCTATGTGTAACATCTTCCTCAATATCTCTATTCTACTAAATTATTGCCCATCGATATTGGAAACAATCTTTTTTAAGTATATCTAAACCATCAATCTTAACTACTTGTCTGCTTCTAGTCCTATCATTGTTAAACTTGCATTCTACATATTCTGTATTTATACGATTAATTTTAAAACCTTTTATGTTCTACAGAATCCCTCCAATATTCTAACTTTGCATTGATGATGTCTCTATTCTCATCAATCAAAACTATATTATTTGCGAACAAGATACACAATGATACCCATCATCTTGTAAGTGCATAGTTAACTCATCCATAACCAGAGAAATGGGCTCAGAGCTAACCCTTGATGTAGGCCCATTGTCACTGAGATCTAATTTCTCTCTCCACTAATTGTTCACGCACTAGTTAGCATACTAGCATATATTTCAAATGAAAAAGCATCCCAACTACAACGGGTGAAAGGGTGCACAAGCACCATTCTAATGGATGAAATTTCACAAGGCTATATCTAATGGCCAAAAATTAATTTTAGTATTTTATTTTTATTTTTTAATTACATAAGATAATTCTCTAGATTTTGAGATGTAGGTTCATTTTATAAACATAACTATAAAAAAAATTTAAAATATATTTTAAATAAAAAATTACAAAATACCCCAAATTTATTTTAATCAACATGTAGGACTTGGAATCCTGTCCATTTTCCATATAAATCAATTGGAGGTTTTCTAGTCGGAATAAGATTTTGTTTTTGAAGTGTACCTTACCTTAACAGTATGAAGCTTTTTATGAACTTTTTCCTCTTTGTGGAGCGTCTTCCTTTTCGCCCTTTTGAGAAAAAACACACTACAAACTTTACATTTGTAGCCTCCTTGAATTGTTTGTTCATCTGTTCAACGATTTAAGCATATCTTCTGTTTATTGTATACTAATCTCTTTATGATTATTAATTTTCTTCTGAAAAAAAAATCTCTAGCATGTTTGGTTCGCATGAAATTGTTTTCTGGAAAACAGTTTCATATGAAAAAATTCTCATGTGGTTGTGTCGAAAAAGTTTACATCAATTAGTTGCCAATTGGTGTGAAAAGATGTACTAATATCAATTGGTATGAAAATATTCTCACACTTAACCACACGAGAAACTTTTTTTTTGTGAAATTATTTGGTATAAAAATATTCTCACACTTAACCATGTGAACCAAACGTGCCATAGTAGTTAAATAAAATTATTTTTGCTTGGGTGCAAGGAGGCTCGAGAGAAAAACGACCAATGACACCTGAAAATGTAGCTTTCTTTCGACTTGCTGGATATGATTTTCCATGGCTTTCCTCTGTCCCAAAAAAATGGCATGTGTTGGCAAACAAAAAGGAAAAGAAAAAGAAACATCACATTGGTTCTATTCAATTCATTAAGCTTAATTATCACTTTTTAATGTAGTTGCCATATAACAGTGACACGAAAATTACAGAGGCAGTAGGCTTGTAAATGGATGTGCAGAGGCACCTGCACGAGCAATTAGAGGTATACAATTTGCACTTTTCACCATTATTAATATCAACACACGCACACACACGTACAGACATACACACATGTTTCCAATTGGTTGTATATATGAAACATGTCACAAAGGAATCTGCAGTTACAAATCGATGAGCATGGTAGGTACCTCATAAGATGGTTGAAGAGCAACAAGAAATGCGATGAGAATGTATTCAAAAGCCAGAATTTCGACATTCCGTGTTCAGAGAAACAACTCAGTAATCTTTAAGGTGTCATTGAATCAAGTTTAGATTATGAACTGTCGGACAAGACTCCATCAAGATTCAATTTAGGAGATGGCCAAAGTCATGACTGAACTGGTGGCTATATCTTCGACTGCATCTGGGTAGTGGCTCTTACTTTAACATAGTTTATGATAAGATGAGGTCTCTCATTTCTGTCTGTACAAATTCTTTGTGAGGTCTTTATTGTAGATGTCAAGAAAAGGGAAAGGTTAACCAAATAGCTGATCATTCCTTTCACCTTTGTTAACAATCACTCTTGAACTTTTTTTTTCTTTTTTTTGAGGTAATTTAGTTGGGAATTTTTGGGTAATTCAGTTGAGAAGACGAGGCCCTATCTGTTTTTTTCAAAAATAATCTAGGACTTAATTTTTTTTAAAGTACTAATAGGTGGTATCAATGAGAATGAAAACTAAGGCATGCCCATCTCAATTACTATTCTATGTATTCTTTTGGGTTCTAAGTTGTTTCTATTTATTTTTTGGGGTTCTTTCCAGAGAATTTTGTACAAGCTCCTCAAAAAAGCTTTCAATTTCATAATAACCTTTCTCACAATATTAATTTTTAAAAGCATACATATATTATCTCGCCCCTTTGTCTCTTCATTCCCCTTCCTTTTATCTTTCCCCAAATAATTTACCGAAATAAATATGTAATTTCTTGTAGCAATCCTCTCTCTTCTCCTTTTAAAAAAAAACGCAGGAGATGAGGAACGAGTTATTGAGGTAAAAGTCATTATCTGGGGTAGTTAACCAGGTAAAATAAAGACGAAAGAAGAGATATGTCAACAGGTAGTACATACTTATAAAAATTAATACCTCATAGCAAGATAAATAAAGGAGGGGCACGTACGAAATTTTTCCTTCTCATGACTTGCCGCTTCTTTCGAGAGCTATTCCACTCCTTGCTTGTTATTTCATTGAGTTGCTAGTGTTTGCCAAGCAATACATTACAAAATGAAAGAAAACCAGCAATCAAAATCAATGGGAATCCACAGGCCCAGCCCAAGGTAGCCGGCTCATCTAATACAGCAGTCATAAGAACCGTCTAGATCGGATGGTTCCTGAGGAATTCTGATTGGACCATGTACCCTTATCGGGTCCAAGTGACTCGAGTGAGTCCAAGCTTTAGTCACCAAGTTTCCAATCAGTGAATATAACCGAGAGAATAATTTAAAAAACATCTCCCAAAATTCAGAGCAGCAGTTATAGACACAGTGAAGTTGACATACCAGCCTAGTAAAAAGGCTTAGGCCTGAGATTCGTCATCTAATTCATAGTCGCTGTCGTCATCATCATCTTCATCATCATCATCATCATCTTCATACATACCACTTCTTCGGAATTGGTGATAATCTTTTGAAGAGTCGGTTACAAATTCGAGTCCATATTTGGTATCGCGATGTTTCACTAGAAGCCAACGCAGCAGGCGGTCTTCCTTATTGAGGTAGTGGAGTTCCTTGTTAAAGTTGGGGGTCACCATCATAGTCATTTGCATCAGTTGACCCTGCGGCAAGCCAAAGGTAGAGAGATCAAGCGACATTGAAGAGAGAGAGAGTTCACATATTTTTTATATGGAGGTACATAATTTTTGTCTTGGAGAACAATTGTGTCAAACTGAGTGATCATATAATTGCAATTTCCTTCGGAATAAATAGTGTTTAAAACAAAATTTTCAAGAAGTCCCTTGCTGTAATAAATAATAGAACCGTATGCAAAACTGCATACAACTAAGCAGTAAGATAAGGTTTAACCATAATTCTCTGAAACACCAGATCACTGCAGCTGAATATTCATAATATGCACTTGTAAGTCAAAAATCATGGTACCAGTATTAATGTTGCAGCCTGGATTATTTTTGTCAAATAGATCCATCAAGAACTTGAAAAACCCAAGGCAATTAATTCAATAATTTAAATTTGCATCGCACCAAGAGACACCTCCTTTTGATGGTTGCCAGAATTGGTCAGATCTATCTTTACACCAATCAACATGATTTGTAATTGTCATGAACAGTCATTTTATCCTAGAACCAGAATGGTTTCAACTTTAGCATTTAAGAATTCTCTTCTTGGTCACATACAGCTTAATCTCCAAAAACTTTTATGATTTGTTATAGCAGTTGATAACTTACACTGAACAAATCATTCCCCAATAATTTGTGGGAAAGGACTCCCATGGTGCATATGTTTATGAAAGCCCTAATTGGTTGCTAAAGACCATTGGAACCTCTGTCGATGAAATATTTCATAAACCATCAGATTAAAAACTCCAAATTTATGCAGGGCTACTTGAAAACGCAGCGATAAGTTCTCGCACATAAAAAGTATCCAATCTTTTGTTTCAAGGTTTTATCAACAGCAGTAACACTTGAATGCTCTTAACCAAGTTTTAAAAAACGGATCAGTAACCCGGATTGGCCACTGAAAAAAACGTGTTGGATCAGTGATCAAGATCAGAGAATCGGTCGGATCGGCTTGTTTCAGCCTCAAATAATTTCAGCAAAACACTATAATTTCTCATTACTTGACTTTGAACCGTTCTTTTGGGAATGCAGGTCAAGTGAAATTATACCACGGATCATGATAACACATCTACCGTTCATTTCTAGAACAAGGGTATCTATGAATCGACAAACTATTTAATGGTCAAACATACATAAATAGGAAACAAACAACTCTACCCTGGCTTTTACTGCAGCAGGTCTATGGATAAGACAAGCATTTCAACTGCCATCCACTTTGGGATTGTGAGTTCCTTTGCTTACTAGATAATTATGATGGCAGACTATATTTGGGCCATAATGAGTTCGCTTATCATCCATTTAAACCTTGTTTGAATGTTCCGGAGGCATATCCAAGAAATATCTTTATTCACCTTCATGAATAATTTATAAGATTCATAAACAAGATTTTGAAAGTTTTATCATACAAACAAAAATATAACTCTCGTTTAGTCGAAGGACTTTTACTCTGCGCTTTGGTGATAAGCAACTTGCCAATGTTGCAGTATGAAGAATTGTTAATACACGTGCAAGTTATCTCTTTTACTCACAGGACTTTTAGTCTATATTTTGACGATAAGCAACTTTCCACAGTTCCAGTATGTAGAATTTGTTAATACACGTGCGAGTTGGTGAGAAGAAGGAAAACGTTTCATGCAGTTGCTAAGAAGCAAAAAAAAAAATCCCACATCAGGGATTTAAAGAAAGAAAACGCTTTGTAAAATATTGAGTTGGGTGACGTCGTAAGTGTGTAAATGGTAACCACACGCACGAGTTGGCGAGCTGTGCTAACACGACATTAGGAAAAATGTGTAGGGTTTAGGTGACGTAGTAAGCGCACGGCTTCCCACAAAGCTTAGTAGGGCTGCCACCTTTCTTCTTAAAAAAAAGTTTAAAACTTGCATAAATTTCCAAGAAAATTCAAAAACCTCTAACACCATGTAGCAATCTACTGTTAGTCAGTTCTGATCTAGTCTAACAAAACCGGCCAACTACTTACAGCACCGACCAATTCTGTCAGAGAACCAGTACGAACTGATTCGGACCGCCCAGTTTAAAGTAAGAAACGATCGTAACGATCAGGACAATCCTCGATCCAAAGGCGATTCCAATCCTGATTGCCAAATATTATGGGACCCTTGGTATGAAAATTTGGCAATCCGGATTTCTCCAAAAAAAAAAAAAAGGCAATCCCAATCGAAATTGTCTGATCCGGATCGGGAATCGTCATGATCGTTCTGGATCCTGTAACATATCAAGATCCGGTCATTTCCCCATTTAAACTGGCCAGTCCGGACCGATTCTCTGATAGAACTGGCCAGTCCAATAAGTAGTTGGCCAAACTCTGTTAGTCTAAACCATAACCAACTGACAATAGGCTTGCCACGTGTTGTTAGAGGTCTTTTAATTTTCTTGAAAATTGTACAATTTTTAACACTTTCTTTTAAGAAAAACGGTAGCAGCCCTACCAAGCTTTATGAGAAGTTGTGCACTTACTAGTCACCCAACCCAACATGTTTTTCCCAATGCCATGTGAACGTAACTCACCAACTCGTGCATGTAGTTACCAATTACACACTTATTACGTCACATAACCCAACCTTTTATAAAACGCTTTCTTTCTTTGAATCTCCAGTGTGGGATCCTTTTTTTTTTTTTTGCTTATTAGCAACCGATGAAGCGTTTTCCTTCTTCTCACCAATTCGCGCATGTATTAACATATTCTTCACATTGGAACCTTAGAAAGTTGCTTATCGCCAAAAGACGGACTAAGAGGCCAAAATTTTCATAGCGTGTGTGTAAGATGTGCCAGATAGAGAACCCAAACTACAACCAAACCCTCATCGACCCAACACCGAACCTTCAACCTAAGCTTTTTACACTCTAACTTGAAGGCGGTCTGAATAATTAGACCTTTTGGATCCTCTTCCACGCATATTCAGTTGCCCTGTCAAACCCCAAAGACCGAGACTGATCGTGCAACAATCTACGCTGAATCAGCGTCGATTCTGGGCGCCGGGCCTACGAGCTCGGCCTCAAGTACCATTTATTCCTCTTTTTAGTTTCATTATTTTCATTTAGGAGCCTCATTTAATCTAGTTTTACATGCTTATGTTGGTATTTATGAATTGCATTTAATCTTATTTTGCATATTTAATAGGTCTTTTAGTTCTATTTATTGCTTTCTTTGACCTCCTTTGTTCCTTAAGCTTCATTTATTACTTTCTTTGATTTTGTTCTTTTACCAAAATCTTCATTAAATCTCCCGCCTCTCTTCACTAAATACTTCAAAATCTTCTCAGAACTTCGAGGTTAGGGTGCAAGGGAAGCCAACTTTGCCAGCATTCCTAACGGGATAAGGTTTTGTGGCCCGATTCTCGCCCAAAATGTAACTTGACAAGACCCTTTCTCTACCAACTCTTTTGATTAGTTACACCTGAAACCAAGACGAGGACCGAGTTCCTTGACCGCATGTTTTAGTATAAACAGTCGGGCGGCCACCGTGGGGCCCATCAAGCTTCCCTTACATCTTAACTGTTGAAGTGACCTTCTGGACACTATCCCCGGAAGGCCAACATCAACCCGGAGTTTGTCTCGGCTTATTTCGAGCCTCTTTTCGCTTCTTTTGTGGGCTGAAACACGAAAATGTCACTGGAAAGCATGTCAACGCCACTTCTAGTAGCGCCTTCCTGCCTCAACATCTTTATGGTCTTCCCAAGAAAGTGTCGGACACTAGTGGCATTGGCACTAGCACTAGCACTAGCACTGACGCCATTGCTAATAGCGCCAGACCTCTGAGACCCCAGGGAACATTTCGGCCTCTCAGAGCCCGTTTTCGGCCTTTTAAGGGTCTTTCTGGCTTTCCATTCAGAGTTCAGGGAAAAACTTAGCCATCGCCATTGATAGTGGCGTTCGCGCTACTGGCACTGGCGCCGGGCTTCTTCCTCCCTGTCCTCAGCTTGCTGACTTGCTCAAAGTAACAAAGTGGTCACTGGCTACACTATCAACTCCGTTGATGTTGTTCACACCAGCGTCAGCCCTCTGTTGCCTTGGAGAATACCATTTTTACATGATAATGTACTTTTATCACTTTCTTGTATCTCTTTGCCTCCCCAGCAGCTCTAGAAGAAAGGGCCTCTACCCCCTCACTACAAACCGCACTTCGAGAAGGGTCGCACTCTGAGTGCGCCTAGCCTGGCATAAGCAACGGCTCTCACTAGATTGTGCTTTGGTCGGCTTTCCAGCCCAAAAGCACACATTGCTAGGCACGAACGTGCCTGGTGTTCACTCATTGTTGGGGCACCTAACCCTTCACTTCTATTGCACTTCGATTGACTTGTCGACATCTCCCAGTACGAGTAGCACCTCGCATTCATTTATTTGTCTGCGCACATTATTGCTTGTTCATTACACTCTTTCACGTGCACTTGTGCTGCTTTACACACTTACACTTGCACTCGCGAGCACGAATGGAAAACATCTTTCAAATTTAGTTTTTCAAAAAAACTGCATTCGACCTTAAGGCTTCCAATGTAGACACCTAGTTCTTATAGGAAGAGTAGTTTGGATCATGGGCCCTCAACGAGAGTGCACCGCTGGTGGGTGTATCTAGTTATTTTATCTCATTTGTTAAAAAGGTTTATCCTTAGGTAGGAACCCATGACTTGGCCTTACCCACTAGCAGTGTAGAGGTACCCGTGTCTTTTTGAGTGATTGTTTGCCTAAGTAACGAGATGTACTTCGACCCAAGTGTGAGGGTGCGGGACTTGGACACCGAGTCCACCGCCAATTCGCACCGAAGGTCGAGTCCGTCGAACGGGTGTCCAATAGGACAGCATGCCACCATCCCCTAGGACTGGTAGTCAGGCCCCACCTATGACCGTGGTCTAGTCACCTAATCATCCATCCAGTGACCAACTAAGTTGCTGGTACGATCTAGGGGTCATCAAGTATGTACTGCCCGAAGGACCCTAAACAGCCAAGGGATCAGGCTGGGTGCAATT